TATTATAATATAAATATTCAAACGTGCATAGATTATAAATACATTTTTTGTTTGTATTGGTGGTGCGTTGGTGGGGGTGAGGAAGAGGGTGAAGGGGGTATATAAAGGAGGGGATTAGGGTACCGAAAGAACAGGTTAAATGAAGGGAAGGAGCGTTACAATTACAGTTTGTAAAAGGTGGAAACACGCTTAGGAAGTGATTTAGTAAAATCGCAAGAAAATCGCGTTTTGGGGTGGGACGTTATTTAACTATTCTGACTCGTTTGTGGAAGTGGGAAGGAGCGTTTTGTGTAGAGTTGAAAAGATAGCATTCCAGGTTAAAATGTTTGAATTCAAATTCCAAAAAAATATTAATTGCATATTTTCTGGCAGCACATAATTAGAAACTATTTAAAATTAATTTAACTTTAGCCCCTGTTTGGCCACCATTATTTCACATTTAGATGAGGAAAAAAAAAGTTTTAATTTTTTGGAGAATGTATGGTTAAAAAAATGAAAAGTTTTTAAGTTTACGTGTAATATTATTGAAAAATGTATAGTTAACATAAAGAGGGAGAAAAATAAATTTCAATTTAATGGACGCCAAAGATGGGTATTCATGAGTGGTTTCGAAGTCAAATATGTCAAAAACAAACTAAACAGTGTTGTTCGATGAATTTGGCACAAGAATTTTAATGTAGTTACTCATCTTCGAAAAATGTTACAACTTGGTCACTCAACTTCCGTTACAGTTTCACTTTGGTTGTTATCGGTTCGATGGAAAAAACATACACGGATGATATCAAGTGAGACATAGGACACTTGGAGTTCCACTAGTGTTAAGCATTAATCTAACTATTCATTAAGCGTTCTTAAATGATTGAATATTTTAATAAGTAGATAAATTATACTTAAGATGCTCAATTGATTGAATGATAGCTAAATTGTTAATCTATGGTTGATTAAAATTTTAAATTTTCTATTATAATAAACAAGTTAATCTTGTTTACTAACAAGTTGAATTTAAGTGATTATAATTTTTCAAATCATACTATGAAAAATTGATTGATAGTCGTCAAAAGATCAAAAGTTATCATCACAAATCGGACTTATGAAATAGGTCAAGATTGAAGTCGCACATTTAAGAACTTAAGAATCAAATTTCGGAGCAAGATCAATGACTTGATTTCTTAGATAAAGTGTAAAGTTACTAATACTTTGACATTTGATAATTGATAAGAATGCAAAATGCATATTTTATTGTATATCATCATCAGAGATCAAATTTACAAATTAATAAAAGGTTGATTATTAATTATAAGAATTTGACAAAAAAAAGTTGGAAAACATTGTAAGAATGAGCAAAAGTTAAATATATTAAGCCCCCGTTTGGCTTCCATTCTCTTTCTCATTTTTTTTTCTCTTTCTTTATTTTAACCACACATTAATCAATAAAATAATATTACACATAAATTCAAAAAATTTTCTTAATTTTCAACCACACATTCTTTCCATCAATCACTATTTCACAATTTATTTTTCACCAAAATGGGTGTCAAAACAACTAAGTGGTATAAACAAAAAATTGGGAGTACTATTTTCTCCCCTCCAAATTCACCCCTTCGTCCGTCTCCTTCCCACTGAAAATTCTCGTCCAATTACCCGAGAACCCTAATTGCCATGAGAGAATCTCGCAGGTTCTCTGTCCATCTCGCTCTCGGAGGCGGCGCAGGTACAACAATATATACGCAGGTTATGCATATTTGTGCGTGTTCATTTTACACAAACATGTTTATAATCATGCGCAAACTCAATCGTAATTGCACTTGTATCTTGAATCAGTGACCAATATTGATCTGAGAGCACCATCTCTGTTTGGTTTTTATCAATTCAAGTTCCTTTGATGATTTATTACAAGCAATGTTTCTGAGCACGTTCATTTCTCCATGTGGATGCAGTTTCTGATGTTTTATTGTGGAAGAAATGGCGTGGGAGTGTTTCCCTGCTCGTCGGTTCAACAGCCCTATGGTTCCTATTTGAAATAGCGGGCTATAATATCTTATCGTTTATATCAAATGTCCTGTTGTTACTCGTTACAATCTTGTTCTTCTGGTCTAAATCTGCATCAATTCTCAATAGGTACACATGCGTACACAAATTCGCATGTGTATACTGATTTGCATTTTAAAGTATCTAGTTACTACTTTCTGAATACTTCTTTGGTTTATTTTCTACTATTTTTAGACTAAGGGTGAGTTAGATTGCGAGCATGAGATTTGCATTGAAGGAAAATAAATTCTTGACAATTCAATTGCCTAGAACTTATTTGTATTTAAATTGTTAATTAAATGTGTTTGATTGATTTGGTTTTCAACCTAGAAGATATTATTTTTGTCCATTTTGATTGGTGGGTGGACGAGAAAGAAAGAGAGTGAATTATCTGGAAAATAAAAATTACCCCTCCCTAAAGAAAATGTTTCCTTATTTTTGTGAAAAATATGGTTACATGATCAAAAGTTGGATAATATTTTTCATGTAAAAAATTGTTAATCAAACACCCAAAAAGTAGGAATTTAAGTGGAAAAATGATATTTTTTATGGAAAATAAAGCTAATCAAACACACTCTAATCATATTTGGCTAAGAAGTATTTCAATATTATGATTGTCCAAAATCGCATGATGATTTCTTAATTGTTACCCCAAGAATCTGTTTTATGTGTCTGCCCTTGGCTCGTACTCTGGATTTTTGAGAGGGTGTCATATAGAAGAGGTTTAGTCAATGTATCTGTGGTTATCGGATGTATTTTAAGCATTTAATGAATGAATTGTTATTTGTGTGAGTATAGACCTCTGCCGCCTCTCCCTAATCTGGAGGTTTCAGAAGAAATTGCTATCAAGACTGCTGATGCGATGCGAGTCTGGGTAAATTATGCATTGTCAATTGCGCGTGACATTGCAATTGGTGGGCAAATGTCGATTTGGGGGCTGCAGATCCGTCGTTGATTTGTGTTGGGAGGTAATTTTTGGGCCTGTACTCTTGGGCTTGCCACAATATGATTGAGTTTCAGTTTGGGCTTCTAATTTCTGAAGTTGGGTAGTTTGTTTTGGTTGCATTATTTGGGTTTAAGTAATTGGGCCAGTTTATGGGTTTAGTTGTGTGGCTAATGGGCTTGAAGGGTCGTATAGTTAGTGAGTTGGATTTGGGTTCATGGGTTATGTTTCAAAATTGGGAACCTGGTTTTTTATTGGGTTTTGATTGGGCTGAATTTATATAATGGGCCTGATTTATGGGTAGTAGTTTACTATGGTCATGGGCTATTATTTTTGTTTTTTTGTTTTTTTTTTTTAGACTTGTTATAGTTTTTCGGTTATGGAATTTTGGGCTTGTTATTTTGGGTTTGCAAAGACTGCTTCAAAAAAAAAAAATCATCTTTGAGTTTTTTAGTGTAGGCTGTTTTGGGAAGTGTGGGTTCTCGTCGTTTCTCGTCGTTTTTTGCCGGTGTTTTGGCGCGTGTCGGCGCACGTCGTGAATTTCTTTTGGAAATTCTTCTTGGGGAGTGTGAGTTCTCGTCGTTTCTCGTCGTTTCTTTGGAGTGGTTGAATCTTCGATTCTCTTTGGTCACAACTCAACCTTTCAGGTGTGGGTTC